TCAGAGTTTATTTGAAGGAAAATGGTGAAGAAATGGGGGAGAATTGTTCCTCTTATATAGGAGAGTTTGGAGGAAGAAGATGAAATTCACTGCGTCACCTTCCCTGTTAGAGCGGCTAGTGGAGTGGGCTGCGATATCCACGATTCCAAACGCAAGTCCCTGATTGGGACTAATTTGGTCCCAGTTGGGGAACACTTTTTGGTCCAACCTTCTCCGAATTGAAATCCGTTTGCACCATTGTGATCGTACATTTAAACTCTATCCAACGATATAATTTTTATATTTATTTGTAATACTTTTTCCGACATCATATTTTTGGGTGGTTGACTTTGACAGAGTCAAAATTGATTTAATTGACTTTTACTCAAAAAGGTTCTTACATTTCATTTATATTATTTATTCTCATGATTTATTTCAATAAATCATTTCAAAGTTCATATCATAAATAAATTTCTTAATTTATCCTTGATTTGGGTCTGTACTCAGGTTCCCAATCAAGACCACACAAATTGTCAATAAATTGGATTTATCTCTATGAGACTTATCCAGATTTTGATATTAGATGTTAAAGAAAATTTAATATCGGCCCAAAGCCCAACAATAATTTATTTTAATTGAAACAATTGTGATTAATTGATTATTTATTCATTAATAATTCTAGGGTATGTTTTGGGGCGTTACAATGACCATCAGGGGTGACTTGCGGATTCGTACCTTGCGGGGGACGCGACGGCCCCGCAGCGTTAAGTGCGCCAGTCAAGTTAACAGGGGCCATGGTGCTGACCAGCTGAGGTTGGAAAGGTGATGGCTGCGGCATCGGCGTCTGGAACGACGTCACCGCCATGGGAGCTTGTAGGGGCATGGTTCCCGCGCCTGGAAGAGCGAACGGGAACATACCAAGGAGAAAAGGCATCCCCCCGCTCTGTTGGCACATGGCCATGACCTGGCCAAAGCCCTGGATGGCTTGTAGGTTGACTGGGTCATTCATGAACTGAGTCATGCTTGGTGGGAACGTGACCCTTGGTCCGGCGGAAGGGACGGGGGTCGTGAACGGGCTGATTACGCTAGGTGTGGGGACAGAGCTCAGACCCAAAGGCAACACCGGGGCTGAAATGACCGGTATGGTAGCAGCCACAGGGATGCCGCTACCTTCATTGGTGGCTTGCACCTGAGCAGAAGTAGCATTGATTTGTTGGCTTGAAGACATTTTGAGTGGTGTTTTTGTGGGTAGGTTTGTGTTTAGAAGAGAAGAAACATTAACGGTCCCACGGTCGGGGCAAAAAATGATGGTGTAAATTATGTGACCGGTCGAACTATACTAGACCGGGTCTAGAATAGTTTGCTTGATTTGGCAAAGTAAGAAAGGTAAAAACACGCAGATTGACCAGTAGGACTTTAGGTGGAACACCTGTAGCCCAATTTATATTATAACGGAGAATGCACGGGTGCTTTTACAAGGGAGTTAGAGAGAATGAATTCAGATCCCTCTTTCTGAGGTTTACATGAGTATTTATACTAGGCTATGGGGGACAAGACCACGTGCGCCCACGTGGGGGCATGTTGCTGATGTGGTGCGAGGTGACTGGTTTCGTCCTCGAGCTGCCTTGTCGCCTTGTGAGGGGGATTATTCCCTCTGTCGAGTAGTGCCTTGGATGGATTCTTCAGCATCTCCAGTTGTCCTCTACTGACATGGGTCGCTACACGCCAAGCCCTCTTAGATTCTCTTCTGCCGACACTTTTCAACCCTAGATAATACACCGGGTAATCTCCGTGGGATGAAATCATCGAAGTTAGGGAAAAATAGGGGGACAAAGTAGTTTGACCGGTATACTTTTTCGTGAAGTACACTGGTCATCTTTGGGCCGATTACATATCGATTTGCTAACGATTTATGTTTTCCTTCCAAAACTTTTGAGATTGACCGGTCAACTAATTGGCCTTCTCCTTTGACCGGTCGTAGGTGGAATACACCCATCAGTATGTATGAATAGACATTATGATAGTAATAAAATTATTAGTGATTAAACAACGGGAGAACACCCAAGATACAATTTAAGAAGTATGAAAATACCAAAATAGGAGTTTTTGGTCTTTTAAGGCCAAAATAAGAGTTCAAGATGTCATTGTGACACTATCATACTCATCACATTGTTACACTGTAATTGCCACATAATCACTAGCACACTACCATCCATCGTTGCCAGCCACCAGATCAGAGTGCTCCCGTTGATCGCCACTGTTGTACTAATCACACTCTCATACTACACGCTCATCACTTTTTCATCACACTACCAACACGTACGCTTACATGACACTGACATTATACTCTTATTTCAGTTATAAAAGACTTAGGACTCCTATTTTAGTATTTTTATTCTTTTTTACTCTTATCCAAAGAATTTTTTTATTTTATATTTTCCAGAATTCCTAATCCTATATTTTATCCCTTCATTTAAAATAAAAATTTTAAATAATAAATAAGATACTCCTTTCAACTCTAAATAAATTTCACATTTTTTTAAATTTAAGTTCAACTTAATGAAATTAGTTTTGATATTTTTTTATATATTGATGTAAATTTAGAAACATAACGTATACACGTGCACACGCACACACAAATATATATAGACACACACACACACACACACACACACAGAGTATATATTAGAAACTACAATAAAATTCTATAAAGCAAGAGCTGACTAGATTCTAAATTTTAAGAATTGTTAAAGATGAGACTCCAGTCTCTAAGAAACTGAAATGTGGCATTTTTTGACAGCTAATTTAGGACATGGAAAATAAGAAATTAATGATGGGAGAATTCTCTGGGTAAGAGTAAAAAACTATAAACATACCGAAAGAGTAGTTCTTAGTCTTGTAAGACCAAACTAGAAGTTCTCATTGTAAATGTTATGTTGGGGAAATTAATGATAACTTGGATGAATCGAGAGTTGTGTAAACACTTTCAGATTGAATATTTTGGTTGTTCACTCCAAAATTCAATCGGATAAAACTCGAAAGTATCAAGAACGAAATATGAGGATTGCTATTAAAAATCCGAACACAAATCCGACCAAGGCCTGCGGGAATTTATAAACTTGCGGCAGAGGGAGAAGACGCCTATCGCGTCTCTTTCCCAAGTTACGCGATCCTTCGCGCGGAGGTTCTCCAAAATTCGGTGCTATCCAATCGGAGGTTTTCTTTTAAAGAAAATCCGAAAATTAAAATTCCAATTGAATTTTTTTAACATAGCGCATTGCTCGGGGGCGCTGCCCCCTTGGAACCCCCGATGTAACGGGATTTTTATCGTAACAAACTCAATGAAGCGTGCACTCCGCACCACCAAACTTCGTTGATGATTATTAGGATACCATTGGTCATAGTCTTTCCAATTACACTAAAATATATAACATGTTACATTACCACACTCGCCATATTGTCACACAACAACTGCCACACTGCCATCTGTTATCTCGGTCATTAGACTGCCGCCGCAGACCGCCAATGGTTGACTAATGATAATGTCAAATTGCACAATTATCATTTTTCCATCAAAATGCCAATGCATACTCTTACATCGCATTACCAATAGATTTTTGTATTAGTCATAAAGGATTTACGAATCCTATTTTGATATTTTCATACTTTTTTTACTCTTATCGAGGGAGATTTACTTTTATAACACTACAAGAAAACGCAAAAAGAATGACAGAAATTGGCGACGGAAAGAATTCCGTCGTTAATCGCGACGGAAACAGAGACGGTTTTTGGATGCCTACCAGATTTAACGACGGAACGAGATGGCATTGATTTGCGGAATGAAGGTTGTGATAATAAAAATCAAGGTGTGTAGGGAGAGCGGGAAGATTTGTGACAATGAAGATCTAGATGCAGTGATAATCAATAGAACAAGAAGTTCAGAGAAGATCCAAGGGAGATTGCAGAAGCGAATAAGATCTAGACTGAGCTACATCATCATCAAAGAGAAAAATAATTTCTAATTTGCAACTCGTGGTATTTTGATAAAACATTCTGTAGTAATTAGAATACTTTCACAAGCTTGAATAATTTTGTAATAGAACACACAAAAAATGAATAAACACGGTCAAGTATATTTGAAAAATTTCCCTTTGGAATCATAGAACCGCTACTATTTTTATCACATTAATATTTTTTTAATTAATACGGGAAAAAAAGCATTCTATTTGGAATTAATCCCCAAATGCTTAGTTGAATAGTTCCCCTAGGTAAACAATCCATTTGATTTGGTGCCATCATGCGAAATAAATTGCGGAGTTTTCATTTTGCTTGCCAATGAAGTTTGTCCCACAACTTTTTGCTGCTGTCTCAATGAAAAAAAATTTCACTTTTTATGATCCCTTTTTGTACACACACCTTTTTGTTCCACTTCTACTTTTTCACTGAGACCCACCCCCAATGAATCAGATTACCACTTGCCATTTGTTTTTCGTTCAAAGTCGCACATGTTAGAGAGATTATTTAATGTAATAAAAAATTAAAGATACTACTGTTCTTTTTCTATGCTCACATATTCTGTTCTTGCTAACCAACAAGTCTTTGGATTGAACATCAACCTTAAGTTTTTGTTCTTATTTTGTACTAGAATGTTGAAACCAATAGCTAGCAGCAATGCATTTTGGGAACTGTAGAAAATTATTTGGGAGGAAATTCCCTGTATATTGAATTGTTCTTGTGCTTACAAAGGTCTAACCCCCTTTATATAGGAAGAGAGTAAAGTATTTAAGTAAACTTTTATTCCTACCATATTTCTATTCCTACTATAATAAGAACTAAGCAAACTAGGAAAGATACTAAACCGAATCCCAAAGGGATTCAGTTTTCTTCTTTGATCCGGCTTCCTTCTTCTGTCGCCAACACCCCCCTCAAGCTGGAGCTTGGGAGTTCAACATGCTCAGCTTGGACATCAAAAGATTGAACAAAGCAACAAAGCTTGAGGAAGCCGCTGCCATCGTTGTCCAAGTGTCATCTAGACACTTCAGTTTTTTTTCTTCAACGGAAACGCTAAGCTTTTCGAATCCGCCGAATAATCAGCCGAGTAAAGGAACGCCATTCTTTCCGAACCTTCACCGTATTCGAACAAACAGGGGGAACGCCATTCTTTTCGAACACCCTGAACGCCGACTTTTTTTTTATTGCCTGCTAAGGAAAGAGTTGCATGTTTCTGTAAAACAACCCTTCTCGGACAACTTCAAGATTGATGGTTGGGCGGGATTCCTCGACAGCAGTGTTTTTTGTTGAAGGAGTTCATGATATTCTTTAGTGAGGGAGAACAATCAAAGAAAATCAAAAATTACAATATCCCGCCGGTAGGCATTGAATTTTGTGGGAAGAAGCGTGTTTGAGGTCTCAAGAATTCAAAACTTGCTTTGATACCATGTAGAAATTAAGAGAGAAAATATTTCTGTATATTGAATTGGCTTGTGCTTACAAAGGTCTAACCCCCTTTATATAGGAAGAGAGTAAAACATTTAAGTAAACTTTTATTCCTACCATATTTCTATTCCTACTATAACAAGAACTAAGCAAACTAGGAAAGATACTAAACTGAATCCCAAAGGGATTCAGTTTCCTACTTTGATTTGGCTTCCTTCTTCTGTCGCCAACACAAAGAACAACTTGTGCTGAATTCCATTGCAATTAAACAACTAAAGGGAAAGAAAATGCTTCCATGATGAAAAAGCTACATGAAAACCTCCCAAAAGACCTGTCATTTTTGGAATCACAAAACACAGAGACACATATGTCCCAAAAGTAGCTGTTATGCCTATACTACATTCATGATTATCTCTACTGCTCGTGTCTTCTCTCTACAGTCAATCGCGGGATGAGATTTTCTGTTCCAAAACCTCGTGTATGTATTAGTTTCTTCACCTCAGAAATGCGTTATTGTAATAAGTTGGTGCATGGGATTCGGGCAGGGATGCCAATGCGGAACGGAATCGCAGGAGAATGGGAGCAATTGTTGTTCAATGGACTATTCCTTATTCTTCCATCCCCAACCTCAGCATTCACACACAACTCTTCACTTGGTCCTCCTAGCTCCAAGAGTTGAAGAAGGGATGAGAATATCTGGTGTCTTGTTACAATCTTGTTCTGCCAAGTGCCAACATGTCTCAATAAGATGTATGTCTCAACTATTTTTTAAAGATATTATATAAACATAGACTCTTAGGTAAAGTTATATGTTACCTCAGCCTCAACAACAAAGTGTGCCCATATCTTATTGCACGCACGGTGTTCCATGGCTCCCTCCAATATATTCAACCCAAAACCTCGCACTACTTCTACAATCTCCAAGAAGAAGCCTTGTTCTTGACATAGGATCTGAATCACCAAGTTTATTAGATCAAAACCATTTCATATGAGAAGCTAAGTGAGAACTATTTATTTGAAAAAAGACGATATGTAGGACTTTACCTCTATAAGCATTTGGCCAGGAGTACA